AGTCTGGTTCCCTTCATTTAAGATGGAACTCCTTTGCAGTCTGGATTTTTGTTTTTGTTTTATGATCCATGCTTAACCTGTAGAAGTTCAGGGACCACAAGATTGAATGGTTTGGAATATTTATATGGTGGTCCTAGATTTCCTTTTCAGTTTATTTTTCATGTGACTCAAGTTCCTAGTGTTGAGGAACAAAAGCAGTGGTTGTTGAAGAACATTGATGTTGTGATATTGTTATGGGCTAAATGAGGCCAAAATTAATATTTCAGGCTCTTGCCTTTTATTTAGAGAAGAATTCTAAGCACAGGCCCAAACAAAACATGCAGTATGGTAAGGTTTAGAATTTATTTAGACAGTGCGAGGAAAACACAGGACCATGAGGGCTTTATTAAGGGAGAGTGGGCCAAGAAGAGTAAACCGGGACCTCCATACCAGTCATTTTCAGAGATCTGCGAGGAGAGAGGGAGCAGGCCAGAGAGTGCCAGCAGCAGGTCACACTGGGAAGAATGGTGGCAAGAGAGTGGGCAGGCTCTCTCCAGCCCTCTTATTCACTTCCAAAGGGGGAGTGGTTACATAGTCTGATTGACAGGTGGGTGGATACAAGTGAGATTACATGGGGGCGGAAGGGTTGTGGCCTCCAACTCATGAACCTACTCTATCTCCTTGACCAATCCCATATCAGTATGGTTCGTTTTTCTTTCCATATTTATATTAAAATAGCTTTTTGTGGACCTGGCATGTGTATGTTTCCCTGGATGGAGAGAGCAGGTGTGAATGTGTATGTATGTGTGTGTGTATGTGTGTGGGGGGTGGGGGGAGGAGAGAAATTATTGAATATGAGGTTTCTAGAATTTCTAGAAATTAGAAATGTTATTTTAATTCTCCAAGATTAGGCCAAAGGCTAATTTATTCTTCATTAAAAAATTAATATCCTTCAACATTTGAAAATTTATTTCAGAAGAAAGCATATCATTAAACAAGACAACTATTTCTCCCATTAAGTAAAATTTTAAAAGTAGAAATACTCAATATTGGTACGAGTATATAGAAAAAAAAGTGGAACTCACAGAAAGTAACTTAGCAATACTCAACAGAATTCTACTTTTTCATGGAAAATTCTCCTCAGAACCAGTTTTTTTTTAATTTTAATTTTTATTTTTTGACAGGCAGAGTGGACAGTGAGAGAGACAGAGAGAAAGGTCTTCCTTTGCTGCTGGTTCACCCTCCAATGGCCGCTGCGGCCGGCGCACCGCGCTGATCCAATGGCAGGAGCCAGGTGCTTCTCCTGGTCTCCCATGGGGAGCAGGGCCCAAGCACTTGGGCCATCCTCCACTGCACTCCCTGGCCACAGCAGAGAGCTGGCCTGGAAGAGGGGCAACCGGGACAGAATCCGGCGCCCCGACCGGGACTAGAACCCGGTGTGCCAGCGCCACAAGGCGGAGGATTAGCCTAGTGAGCCGCGGCGCCAGCCCAGCACCAGTTTTAAAGAAAGTCATTCAGATACAGATTTATGATCAAAGGTGCATTTCTAAAACTATTGTAACAGTATTTATAATAGAAAGACTTGTGAAAAAGATTATACATCCAAACAGTAAGGTCGTGACTAAATAGATTGTAGTATTATTATTTAAAGGGTTTTATTAAAGAGCAACAAAAAATGATTTTGCAGGATATTTAATGACATGAAAAATATTAAACGTAAATGAAAAGTGAAATGTATATTCTTTAACCATACATTTCTATATTGAAGTGTTTAATATACACAAAAGAAAATATCTATGGTTTAAAAAAATGAACATATAGTAATTTATTAATACTGTTAAATATTAGAAATTCTGAATTATGTATCTCTTACCCATAAAGATAGAAGAAAATATTCGAAATTTAAATGGGTCTTTCTTTGGAGAGGTAGAATTATAAGTGATCTTTAATTTTTGCTTATATATTTTTGTTCTTGTATAAGGAATATATATTTTCACAATGATAAAATATTATTAAGCACTATCTAATGAAACAAAATGTAAGCTGCTTTTAAGATTTATTTATTCAAGAGGCAGAGTAAAAGAGGGAGGGAGAGACAGAGATCTTCATCTGTTGATTGACTCTCCACGTGGCCTCAATAGTCAGGGTTGGGCCAGGCTGAAGCCAGGAGTCTACAACTCAGTTTGAGTCTCCCATGTGGGTGCAAGAACCCAAGTACCTGGGCCATCTTCCTCTGTCTCCAAGATATGTTAAAAGGAGGCTGGATGGGAATCAGAGCAAGGACTCAAGCAAGCGCTTTGATATGGAATGTGAGTTTCCTAGGTTGAGGCTTTAACCTGCCATACCACAATGCCTACCCCCTTAGCTGCTTTCTAACTCCATGTCATTGTGACAGAGCTCCAGAGAAGTAATGAACTGGACTGACAGCCACAGGGGTTGTGGATGCTCTGACTTCTAGTGGGTGTTTAAATGACCTCTACAAAATACATTAAAAAGAATTCAAAAATCTACTAGATTTTTCATGGTTCATGCCTCCAAGAGAGGATTTATTTCATTTAGCAAATTGGGTGCCTGTTAAAGTGCTAAGTAAGAGTAACTATGAAAGAAGGTCTTTGCTCTTGTAATATGATTCTTTCTATTGGTGAAAAATAGTCGACATGCAAATAGCCAGATGCTGATATATATAAGTGAAAGGTAACAAAATAGGAAGAGGGTCTGATTTTAATTTCCTGGTTAAGGAACAACACGCTACAGGGTGATAAGAAAGAGACACCTTACAGTGATCTCTGGGGAGAGGGAACCGCATGGGTACAAGCTCCGTACGGCGTCCACTGGGAACAGGAAAAGGGCCAGTGTAGTTGGAATGTGTTGCGTGAGGGGGCAAAGTGGTAAGGAGGAAAAGTGGTAGGTAGAGTCTGATCACAGGGGACCAGGTTTTGGTATTAAAGTTTGAATTTTACACTAAGTGCAACAAGAAATTGTTGGATGGCAAGAAAATAATGTGATTAATTTGTTTTTAAAATTATTCTCATTGTTCTATGGGAAATCATCGTAAGGGAGTAGGATTGGGAATGAGGAGACTAGTAAAAAGTCCTTTGTGGTGGCACAGATGAGAGTTAATTTTGCCGGAGTTAGAAATGTTGCGGAAGGGAGAGAAGAATACAGATTTGATTTCTATTTAGAAATAGAGGCAGTGGATCTTTCTGTTACATATGGGAGATTGCAGGAAAAGTGGGGCAATCAAAGACAGCTTCCAGGATTTTGATTCAGGTAGTGGGGCAGGTGTTAGCATTTATAAAGATGGATAAGATGGGCCAAGCACAGTTGGGGAGAAATATTGAGAATTCCAATTTGAAATAATTTGTTTGAGCTGCATGGCGAGCTATTGAGTAGGCAGTTAGATACATGAGTTTGGAGCAAGGTGTAGACGTTTAGGATTAAGGGATAGACATTTCTGAGTCTCTAGTGTAGATATATTTAGAACCATGGGGCTGCATGAGATCACAAGGGGAGAAGCAGCGGTAATGAGGTCTGAGGCCAGGGACCTCTTGGCAGGGGAGGAGGAGCCAGCAGAGGGTGCTGGGCAGCAGTTGGGAGTGAGGAACTTGGGGCAGAAGAACAAAGTTGGATTTTTCTTTTTGTAGGAGTAACTCTGGTCAAAGACTCAGGTGTTGGCAGGGGAGTTGCTGAGGTATGAGGCTGTAATGTAGGTTAGTGTCCCAGTGTAGAAGAAGAGATTTTGGAAGGGGCTCAGGAAGTAGAACGGCAATGACATGAGCTTAATAGACAAATCTTTATTGATTGATCACTAGGTAGTCCCTGGGCTGCTGTTTTGTGAACAAAAGATGGCAGGTTAGCTTTTGGAGTTGGCTTAGTTGTTCTGCAGTTCTTTAGCTGTGTGGTCTTGGGCAAGTTGCTCACCCATCAGATGAGGCGTGCCACATTGGAGTACCTGGGCTCAGTTCCTGGCTCCAGCTTCTGACTCCAGGTTCTTGCCAATGAAGACCCTGGGAGGCAGTGGTGATGGCTCAAGTAGTTGGGTTCCTACCATCCAGGTAGTGGGAAACCCTGACTGAGTTCCCAGCATCAGCCTTTAGCTTGGCTCAGCCCTAGTTGTTGGCATTTGGGGAGTGAACCAACAAATGAGAGCAAGCTTGCTCTAGCTGTCTCTGCCTCTCCAAAAAATTTAGAGAAGCATGTGAATGAGGTCATATGTCCTTCATTTCTAAGTCCCTTCAATATAATAATGCCTTAGAGGAGGTGGGAGGGCATTTCCTCATTAAATTATAACTTGTTGCCAATTTTAAGATGTTTCCTGGTTTCAGAAATGCTAATGTGATTTTTTTTTTAAAAAAGTGAATTTTAGAAGAGAGACAATATGATAATACCCATAGTGAGAATGTTGGGAAGGTTAATAAGATAATGTTTAAATGTCCAACCATTCAGTGAATTGTAGCTATTATTAACAGATGAAAGGACATGAAAGATAATTTGGGAATATCTGAAGAAAGAATTTTAACAAGGTCTGAAATTTTAACCAACAAGATCTGAAATAGAACTAGAATGAGAGGAAAGAAGAAAAAAGTTCAAGTGAAGTTACGGAGATAAATGAGTGTGTATATGAGGAGAGAGAGTAGCCCCTCTACAGACAAAATTTTCTTCTGTATTTAAAGTGAGAACTTTATGGGTATTATTCTGAATAAACAGAAGGAAAATGTAGTCATGTGGGATACGTTGACTCCCTTGCTGTCCCATAGTAACATTACAGTCCTTATCAACGTACCGCTATTTGACCTGCTAGTCACAATAAATAAAAGAAAGCATTAGCTAACTCACAGGTTAAAAAAGTGAACAGTGTGTTTTATTTTTGTTTGTTTTTGTTTTGTTGGGGGAAGGGCAGCTGGCTAGTTCATTAGTTGAGTTGTGTTTCAGGTATCTTATGTTTTGATTAGAATGATACAGAATTTTTAGCTCTTCTTTCTTTCTTTTCTCTTTTTATTTTTTATTTTTTTTTGCCCTAGGTCCAGCAAGACTATGAATCTCTGTTCCAAATGCTTTGCTGGTAAGTGCAGAAAAAGGGTTTTTAATTTCTTTTTCTTCATCTGGTTGTTTTTAAAACTATCTAAATCATTTGACTCTCCTTTGGATTTATGTCTGTGGTTTTGTTTCATTAGCCTGTGTGTGAAAACACTTTGTCCTCGACAAGGTGCTTTCTGCTGAGGCTTCCCTGAGTGGAACAGAATCTCATGAGTGCTTGCACCACACAACTTTCCTGGGTTTATTGGTGGTGGTGTGTTGTAGAATTGAAAAAAGTTGTGTGTTGTAGTAGGGTAATATATGTTTATGCATATCTGATCTTGAATAATGGTGAATCTTGCTTCTCCAATGAGAGTACAGTGGAGAGTATTTTCACGTGGGAGTCAGGGACAGAATCATGCTGCGTTAGCCCCTTCTAATCAGATCTCATTGAAATTACCTTGGGTAAGTTATTTAATCTCTTTGGACTTCAGATTCATCAATTGCAAAATGATGGACTTGAGCTACATATTTGTTGAGGACCTTTTCTAGCCCCAAAATGCTGATTGATCAACTCTTTTCTTTGAATTACGACTGTTTCATGAAGTTGAAATCATGTTTTTATTTTTAAAGTACTTTTTATCTAGTGATCTTACAGAATGTAAGTCTTTAGTAATTAGGAAGTATTTAAATTTCCTTCTTTATCCACGTTGTAAAAGATAAAACTAATCTGGACCTTAAAGTAGGAAGGACAGATTTTGATCAGTAACAAAGTGTTACAAAATGGAATAGAGTCCAGCTTGAACTAAATTTAATTTTGATTTGCTCAGAGTTGACTGGGCTTTTTTTTCTTTTTTTAAAGGAAAGGGGAAGGGCATGAGCAAGGTCTCAGTCAAGTTAGGGAAGTGAAAAATTACAAAGGGTTGGTGAAAATATGCTGGTTATGTGCGCTGTGACCATGTCCTTCCTGATGATCACTTTTTAAAGGAAGGTCTTTCAGTAGTGACACTCCCTGGTTGTTGGCGATATCTCCAAAGGGACAAGAGGAAGGTTCACAATTATAACCCCAGCCCCACCAGCAGTCAGCGTCTGTCTTCAGATAGTGGCTAGAGTAGACAGTAAATTCTTTTGACAGCCTTGAGCTTTAAGAGGCAGACACTGTAAGGAGGGCTAAGGTTATCCTAGGCATGCATCTGAAGTCATGAGAAAAGCCAGGTCATTAAATATTTATATATTTTTAAGATTTACCCATTTATTTGAAAGTCAGAGTTAAACACACAGAGAGAAGGAGAGGCAGAGATAAGAGAGAGGTCTTCCATCTGCTGGTTCACTCCCCAATTGGCTGCAACAGCCAGAGCTGCGCCCTTCTGAAGCCAGGAGCCAGGAACTTCTTCCGGGTTTTCCATGTGGGTGCAGGGGCCCAAGGACTTGGGCCATCTGCTGCTGCTTTCCCAGGCCATAGCAGAGAGCTGGATCAGAAGTGGAGTAGCCAGGACTCGAACTGGTGCCCACGTGGGATGCTGGCTCTGCAGGCGGCAACTTTACCCTCTACGCCACAGCGCCAGCCCCTGGATCATTAAATCTTAATGGGGGGTGGGTAAGGAGGGGTGTTGAGAGTCCTTAGAGTAAAAAAAAAAAAGAAAAATTACGTTTATTTTATTTATTTGAAAAGCAGAGAGAGAGAGGGAGAGAGTCAGATCTCCCATCTGCTATAGTTCAGTTCCCAAATGCCTGCAACAACTGGGCCTGGGCTGGGATGAATTTAGAAGCCAGGAACTCAATCCAGGTCTCCCACATGGGGGCCTGCAGCCTGCTGCCTTCCAAGGCCTACTTTAGCAGGAGACTGGAATCCATAGCAAAGCTGAGATGTGACTCCAGGCACTCTGATCCAGTATGCAGTGTCCTAGATGGTATCTTAACCAACATGCCAGACACTTGACTTAAGAGCCCTTAGTTTTTGTAGACCCAGGTAAAAGACTATTAGAGGGCTTGGCTCAACCTTGATCAAAGAGAAATTCTTTTTTTAATTTTTATCTTCTATTTCTTATGCTGTTTAAGATAGGAAATGACTATTGTGTAAGACTTAGATAATTACAGTTGTGTCTTAACCCAGGGGATAGGTGGAAAAGAGTCGGTAAGATTTTTGAAAGTTTGTATCTGTTCAGGATTTGGAATTTGTCAAATAGTTACAATTTTAAAAGCAAAAATTATCAGCAAGTTTGGTTTTTGTCCATTTTTTAAAAAAGATTTATTCTTACTTATTTGAAAGGCAGAGTTATGGGGTGGTAGAGAGGGAGAGATCTTCCATCCTCTGGTCCATTCCCCAGTTGGCCACAATGGCCAAGGCTGGGACAGGCAGAAGCCAGAAGCCAGGAACTTCATCTGGGTGAAGCTGTCCTCCGCTGCTTTCCCAGGCACATTGGTAGAAAGGTGGATCAAAAGTGGAGCAGCCAGGACTTGAACTGGTGTGCATGTGGGATGCTGGCAGTGCAGGCAGTGGCTTAGCCTGCTACACCTCAATGCCAGCCCCAGTTTTTAATCCAATTTTTAATATTCCTGCTGTGTTAAGAGATTATATAATATTTATCTTTGCATATCATACAATTATAGTATGAAGAAATATGTCTTCATTGATGAGAGTTTATAATAAAGAGGAAAATAGCAGTGAGATAAAATGTATAAAATGTGTAATAGATTATGTTTCTGTCTCCATTTATAAATTACTCCTTATAATTAGTGAAGCATGGCATGGGAGAAGCCCAGGCACCTTTGAATAGAGTAGCTCATATCAGATACTCATAAAGAATCATTTCATGTCCCTGAATAAATAGAAAGTTTAAAAAAATACCACTGAAGTCAGAGTTCACCTGTGGTCTTTGTGTTTCTTTGAACTTGTACAGTTTTACTTTTTATACTTGTAATTTTTTGTCTGTCTCTGGTGGTTTGTGGCCCTTTACTCTTTATACAGCTTTGCCTTTTTTGCTTTTAAAAATATTAAGAAGCTGTTCCAAGTTCATACAGAAAATGCTCTTTTTCTTTCCTCTATCTTCAGTCCTGCACGCCTACTTTCGTCAGCAGCATTTGCATGGAGTGACTAGTAATTCCCTGCTTGCTGAAGCATCATTTTGTGTTCCTTTTGAAGCTCAAAAGGAAAGAGATATTTAACCTTAAGAATTCATATGTGGCTCTTGTCTCAGTATGAAGATAGGGAGAGTATGGTCGATGTATTATGGCAGAAGAGGCATGAGATGTGCAAGGTAACATGAGGATTACTTTGGCAAAAGCCTGGGATTTGAATATTCTTTCAGAAGTATATTATATACAGCATACTTTGAAAGATGGAAAAATCACCTTTTTTGGTTAAGATTTATTTATTTATTTGAAAGGCAGAGTTACAGAGAAAGAGGGAGGGAGGGAGGGAAGGAGGGAGAGATCTTCTATCCACTAGTTTATTCCTCAAATGGCCTAAATAACCAAGGCTTGGGCCAGGCTGAAGCCTGGAGTCTGGAACTCTATACAGGTCTCCTATGTGAGCAGCAGGGACTCAAGTAATTAGGTCATGCACTGCTTTCCCAGGCACATGAGCAGGGAGCTGGATTGGAATTGGGGCAACTGGGACTTGAACTGGCACTCTTATGGGATGCCAGTGTCACAGGTGGTAGCTTAACCCACTGTGCCACAATGCCAGCCCCAGGATACCACTTTATTACTATTATGTACCACTAGACTAGGTAAAGAGACTTTTCAAGACTTCTTTCCAAGTTAACTTTATGTGATGAAAGAGTTTATTATGATTTATTTTCATAAAATTGAATGAAATGAGATGAAAACATGAATATTGTGTTGAGATACAGTAGATTGTGGTTTAGGAACTGTGGGTGTGTCGCTCCCCCTCTTCGTGGAGGAGCAACACAGGACCCTGCGCTGTTCTTTCGTCTGCTCGGCCCTCCCCGGGTTTGCTGCTGGTTCTTCCCGGGTTGGCTACTATCCCTTCCACCTCCGTGGAAGGGCAGTTCCCCCTGGCCACATTCCCCACTTCCGCAGGGGAGCGGCACACCGCAGGCCGGCTCGTCTCGGGGGCTGCACAGGTGTTCCCCTTAGATGTTCCCCTTAGATGTTCCCGGTGCATGCCGTCTCTCTCCTCCTTTATAGTCCTCCTCCGCCAATCCCAACTCGGCTGCCCACACGCCGAGTACGCTGCTCTCCTCCAATCAGGAGCAAGTCCTACAGTTTATTAGCTGAACTGGAGGCAGCTGTGCGGAAGCTGTTTACTTCTCTCCCAGCGCCATATTGTGGGAGAGCAGATGCATAGAATAAGTCTTAATTCCAGTAACAGTCTAGTCCGGGTTGTTCCCCACAGGGTGTTGGCTGAAGGTTAATTTCGATAACTTTGCCTTTGATGAAATATTCTAAGTGATGAGTGCCTTTGTCTGCCATCACTTCAAATAGCCCCTCTTCCCTTTTTAAAAAAGATTTATTTATTTGAAAGGCAGAGTTACATAGAAGCAGAGAGAGAGAAAGTCTTCAGTCTTGTTCATTCCCCTGGGCCGACCTGAAGCCAGGAGGCTGGAGCTTCTTCCGGGTCTCCCAGGTGGCTACAGGGGCCCATTCAACTTGGGCCATCTCCCACTGCTTTCACAGGCACATTAGCAGGGAGCTGGATCAGAAGTGGAGCAGCCTGGATTTGAACGGGTACCTATATGGGATGCTGGCGCTGCAGATGGAAGCTTAACTTGCTAGGCCACAGCGCCAGCCCCTCCCCTTTCTTTCTAAAAGATTCCTGGAAGGTTTGATTTAGAGGAAGGAAATAAAAGAAGTTAAGTGTATATGAAGAGTGATATCAACTTAAAAACCATTGAAATATTAATTGCTGTCAAATTATATACCAATTAATAGTGTTTCTCCTCACTGCTAGAATGGGAACTATTGCTGTCAAGAGTTTACATGTATGTACAAGTGGACCCAGCCTACCTAGATTTTCTGAAGGCTTGCAGCTCAACCAAAATAGCTCAAGAAATGAGAAACTTTCTTTTGAACTTTTATATT